TTACTGCACCGCGTGTCATGTTTACATTACTGTAGATCTTGTTTGGAGGAGGGAGGGGTATTACTAGAACCTGCACATTCCCCATGGGTTCTTCAGTGGCAAAAATTAATCTTCAAGAAAGAACAGTGAAAGAAAGAAGTCTTTTTGAAGATGATTCTGTCAAAATGCATCACCACAAATTTTACTAAAAGAATCAGGGGCTCTTGCAGATGTGTGGTTCTTCTTTCTGCAGGGTTTGAATAGCAGCACTAGGCTACAGTGGGCAGCTGTGGCTGTTAAAAGCTCAGGGACTTTGTATAAACTGATAATATACAGACCATGTAATTCCCCATGAATGAGTGCGTTTGTTAGCCAAATAAGTTATTATTGTCTGATTGTAAAAAACTGGCAGATGTAAAACAGCCTTATCTCCCAGTAATCCCTTGTCTTGTATCTCGGGAGTCAGCTGAAAGATCTGAGCTCTGCATGTGTGGCCTACGTGTGAAAGCGCTGGCTTGCGGCCTGCAGTTGCCTGTATGTGTGGTAAACCTCAGAATGCAGAACCCACAGACGCCCCACAGCGCACACCACGCGGGACGCCGCGCTGTTATCTTTGGCCTGGCCTGAGCACCGCTCCCAGTCCTCTGTTTACTCCCAGCTCCCACACGCATACAACAGAAACAACGGCACAAAGAGACGGAGAAAGGCCTGGCAGGAGGAGAACAATGGGACATCGATTCACAACCACAAGGATTCACATTAAAGTCCAGGGCAGAGTCCCTGATAAGAGTTCTTCCAAAATGAAATAAATAAGAAAGCTTCAGTGAATATCTGGCAGCTTAAATGGCTAATGTAAACCTTATACAAGTCATGCAGGATAAGGGGCTCAGCCAAGCCTGGGTACAGTGACCTGGAAGAAATGGACACAGAAAAAGGTTTCAGAGTCATCCCACATTTTGCCATCCAATGATTACACCACAGAAATAACACCATAAGGAGTAATCCCTGTGTTTGGGTCTCCAGTCACCTGCAATCACAATGAGGAATTACTCTTTTCTCCACTCGGACAGCAAGGTGTGCCAGCCAGAGCTGCATGCCAGAGCTGCTCACGGTACACCCAATGCCCTCCGGTCCTGCTGTCATCACTGGGGGAAGACAGGGAAACAGAAAGCAGGACACTACACACTGTACCCATGCGTTTGCATTATATGTGATGCTAGAGTATTATTTATGATATTAGAGTACTGTGTTGTTGTGGCTGAAATTTCAGCTTGGTTCTTCATTGTCAACATCACTTATGTCAACATTCGGTCCAATTTTAGTACAGTTCCTGTCCCTAAACACACAAACTCAATGATTCAATCACAATTAATTTTATTTTTTAAATCTGGGTAAAATGCACATGTAAATATGAATGTATAAGCATAAAAATTGTGCAAAAATAATTACAAGGATGGTGCAGAAACATGTGAATTAATAAAAGACAAATGAATTAATAAAAGAAAGCGAGCACAGCGCAAAGAGCACAGAGCACAGGCAGATTAATGTGTGTTACAGCATAAGCAACACAAAGTCCTGGATTCAATCAACATTTGTGTTCAGCTCTGTCTATCATTTAAATGCAAGTGTTACTTTTCTCAACACAAGCATATTCTTTTCCTTCATTTTGGTGATTACCGATGGCGTTTGATGTCAAACTGTGTTGGGGAGTAAAAATAAGAGTTGAAATGAATCCTGAGTCAAAATGAGTCAGTTGACTGAATCCAGACCAAAGTCTAATTGTAACCATATTGGTTCCTGTTGCTTGAGCCATGTCTTTCAGTGATTCGTCTACAAGATCAGTTTACTCCACTGACTCGGTGATAGCAGGCCTCAGGGAGAGGCTTTGTATCACTGCTTTACCAGCACTGCTGTCTAACTTTAAAGCAGGGACATCTGTCCCCCTGAGGGGGATCTGATGGGGGGATCTGTCCTGCTGATGGGGATCTGTCCTGATGAGGGGGATCTGATGGGGGATCTGTCCCGATGATAAGGGATCTGTCCCGCTGATGGGGATCTGTCCTGCTGATGGGGATCTGTCCCCCTGAGGGGGATCTGATGGGGATCTGCCCCCTTGAGGGGGATCTGATGGGGATCTGTCCTGCTGATGCGGATCTGATGGGGATGTGTCCCACTGATGGGGATCTGATGGGGATCTGTCCTGCTGATGGGGATCTGTCCTGCTGAGGGGGATCTGATGGGGATCTGTCCCCCTGAGGGCGATCTGATGGGGATCTGTCCTGCTGATGGGGATCTGATGGGGATCTGTCCCACTGATGGGGATCTGTCCTACTGATGGGGATCTGTCCTGCTGATGGGGATCTGATGGGGATCTGTCCTGCTGACGGGGATCTGCCCCGCTGATGGGGATCTGATGGGGATCTGTCCTGCTGATGGGGATCTGATGGGAATCTGTCCTGCTGAGGGGAATCTGTCCTGCTGATGGGTGTAGCATACACAGGGCAGCCCTGTGCACAGCCCTTCGTGTTAGCGGGTGTAAGAGCACTAACACGATTAAACAGACGCTTCCTGTGCATCTGCCGCTCCCTCTGAGAGCCCAGCTCCTTCCCATCATGCCGCAGTCACAGTGTTAGGATGTCCCCCAGAGAGCCATTGTCCCCGGGAGCGGAGGTGTCTGTGGCCGAAGCGCACGGGGTGATGGTGCTGCAGACGGAAACGCTTTTGGAAGGCCGTGTGAGGGGGGCCCTGCTGCTGCTCTGCGGCTCTGGCCACTTCAAAGCCTTCAAAGGCTCATATAAAACGCCTCACGTATCCATTCCATTCGCTGCATTACATCAAAACATCCACAGAGCCAGTCACTGTGGACTGCCAGCGGGAAACACGTTCTGTCAGCTCGATTTAGATTCCACATTTAATTTTTTAAAAAGGTTTTTCACAAAATTGTAAAGGAAACCAAGCATAATGTCACTCTGTATCATTACAGACAAGATGCATGCCATAGATGAACTGGATAAAGTGATTTCATTTCTCATATGGAAACACTGAATACATTTTATTCACATACATACAGTATTAGGAAGAACATTTTAATCATGGAATATGCCATTGTTTCTGTCTGTATTTCAGAACTGGACAAAAAACCTTTTTACATAAATTTTTTTTTAGACAATATTTATTCATTTATGATAACACATAGTAAGGGAATAACAATTTTATACAATGGCATTTTGCATATGCCTCACATACTTCTTCATATTTTTTATAATTTGACTTTATGGAATAATAAATCCTCCTATACTTTCAGTAACTGAATATTTTTGGAGCTGGGACTGGAATAGTAAATGAGTTCAGTCCATTTCCACATTTCTGAAAAGAGTGAAAATGTCTGAATAGAAAGCAAGAGTGTTTGTTGTATGAGATATTTGTGTTTAGTGGTTGTTTCTGAAATCCAGTGGAAGACACTTCTGCTCTGGCTGAACATTGGTAAAACAGGGCCACATGACCCACAGGGCAGCCTCCCTTTCAGATACACTGCTACAATACAGCACTGAAAGCAGGGAAAAGGTTTAGCACATTCAATCACCACCCATGAGACATCGGCACTTTGTTGGAGCCTAATTTGAGATTTCTGAATTGCTTTGATGCAAATAAAGGGACAATTGATTTTGTAGCAAAAGACGCAGCAAAAGAAGGCCACCTTATTGTGAGCGAATGCTCCTCGTAGTTCTGCTTCATGGTGTCATTCTATTCATTACCTATAGAAAGAAAGAAAAAGACCAGAAAGGCCCACACTGAAACAAGCCCCGCCCCCAACGAGGCCTCCACAGACAAATGGCCAGAGTCTCCGCCTCTGCAGAACACAGCCCTTTGCCATTAGTGGCTGAATGGTGACGTCATCTTTTGGACACATTGTTGTCACTAACGGCATTGTTTGGACCACCGTGCCGTTCAAAAGCGGAGCGTGAATGTGGCAGGCGAGCCCCTTTGTGCTCCTGTGAGGGGCACGGCCACAAGGCCTCCACCTGCCCCTCCCTGCACCAGCGGGGTCACCCAGGCGTGACCAATCCGGTTAGCCCATGGAGATCGGAACCCCGGGACCGCTGCAGGGACCAGAGGCAATGCAAGCAGACAGGCCATCACACGTGACAAATCAGGGTTCCGGCCCGCTTTCTCAAAGTGACAGTCCTCATGTGACAAAGGACTCGGAGAGTGAGAGACCGCATTCTGCACCGGGGGGATTAAAAACCACAGCCACATTCTGGGGTGTTTTCATTGCTCTCAGGGGAAAAGCACGGGGGTCGCCGAGTTTACCCTCAAAGGTAGAGCGTGTGACGAGCTGACAGTGTGGAGGGGAAGCTTCCTGCCGGTGGGGATTTCCAGGAGATGGGCGACTCAGTGTCAGCAGCTGTCAGTGACTACCACGGCAGTCATTCGTCAAACATTTGCTTGCGTTTTAAAACACGTCCCCCCCAGAAGGGACCCTCACCCAGTGCCCAGAGTTCAGAGAGGACGAGAGCAACCACAGTTCATTCTCCTGGCGCCTGAGTCACGGCTCCAGCATCCAGAACAAGGTCACAGCAGAGCCATATTGTGTGACTGCTTACGCAGAATCAAAGGCCTGCGGTCGGAGTTTCCAGAGCTCCGATAAATCAGCGCTTCAGTGCTGGGATTCCCAGGCCTCTTCCCTCGCTGTCTGTGGTGGGCACTGGAGAGCATTAGTGCCGGCTCATCCCTGCAGCCATCCTCAGCTCCAGCACTCAGCGCTGATTTACAGATGCTGAGCTGCTACAGCCAAGGATTCTGCTGATCTTGCACCCCCCCCCTTTCCCCTCACAAACCAAAAAGCCTCTTTTAAGTTTTGTCATTAAGTTTCAATCTAATTAAAGTAATAAATGCTAACCAAGATGAAAAAAAATCGCAAATTTATCTTGGCTAATTGTATTTAAACTTAAATACCATTTGAAACCACTGAAAATGGGTCTGAAACCACACTGGCCCAGAGACAAGCATGAGTATGAGGCGGCAGTGTAGCATAGTGTTAAGGAGCCGGGCATGTAACCGAGAGGTTCCCGGTTCGATTCCCCACCGGGGCACTGCTGCTGTACCCTTGGGCAAGGTACCTAACCCAGAATTGCCTCAGTAAAATATCCAGCTGGATAACATGTAAAAATTGTAACCTATGTAAGTCAGTCTGGATAAGAGCATCTGCTTAAACGCCAATAATGTAATGTAATGTAATGAGTATGATGTAATGTAAAGTAATGAGCATGCCACACCTGCTCTCCTGTGTTCCTGCGCTGAGGGTTTCTCTCACTGACTCCTCCTGCAGCAGCTCTTCCTCCCTGCAGTGCTGTGATGGGCGGGTCAGCACTCAGCCGGGGCGGGGCCCTCAGAGAGCAGCTGGAGATTGTCCTGAGACTGGAGACACGGTACAAGGTCATCCATCAGCTTCTCTCACACAGCTGCAGAGAGAGCCGGCGTGGGCTGGACTAAGGCACTGGAGGACTTTGTGTGTATGAGTGTTGCAGGTTAAAAGTCCACCGATGCAGTACTAACCACCACCATCTAACACTCACACACCTACCAGCACGGTGCCCCTCAGGCCAGCAGCTTGTGGAAAGCACAGGTCAGCATCCTGGCTAAGACACTGCAGACCACCATGTAGACCACCTTCACCCCAGTGCTGTAGTTCAAGGGCCTGATACAGCACACAGAGGCACACAGAGTGCTGAGAACCATGCAGCTATGACTGGGGAAGAGAAATAGTTCTCCCATATCCAAATAAATATGTGAAAAAAGTATTCCACTACAGAGAGGGCTTAAAACCTCAATATGAGCTAGACACTCAAGAGAGAAGCCACAGGCCAGCCATACCCTACCCAGGGCTTCAGTCGGTCTTTGGCTGTCAGAAACAGTGCAGAACTGGTGTGGTCGGGCATTAATGGGGAATTAACGAGCCGTTGAAGGAGAGGTGTTTGTTCAGAAACGTCATCCCTCTTATTTTGCAATACAGGATTAAAATACTTCCCCCGCCAAAGAGTCCAAGAAAATGACAATCATAAAAAGTTATGACAGTGAACGTTTGTACATTTAACATGAATTGTTCCTTGTCTTTTCAGTCACTTCTGAATGCTGTTTTCATTGTCATGATTTATTTAACGAGCAGCTGGCACTGAGGCTTTCTTTCCTCTGCAAGGTCCTACAAGGATGATGTTTATTGTTATTTTTAATATCATTTGGATTTGATTTTCAAACTTAATTCAAACTTAATAAACTGGAGAGCGACTGTACTCCCAGTGACCCGCAGACACACGCACTCGTGTATTGGATTCACATGTGACCTTTCACATGCGCGGCGCTGGTGGGGCTGGATCCTGCCCAGCCGGGACCTCGCCGCCGTGCAGGGTGTGAGAGAGAGCGCTGGCCCGATCGCTCCGCGGGCCTGCCAGGAACCGTCAGGTGGGTCGAGTGGAACACACGTCTGCTGCGTTTCTTTATAAATCATATTAAATCTCGGCTTCATCGCGTCACTTCACAAATCCTCCCACGGCATTAACCTACTCACCATTTGACTGCGAAATCTGGGGGTGGTGAGGAGCAGCACAGAAACACACTTTTCTCTTATACTCCACACACAGACACCGCTGAGAACTAAACCATCTTCGATATGAAGTACATGATTAATGTCCAATGGCAGCTCTGTGTGTTAAACCATGCCAAATGGTGGCAGTTCTACTCCAGTCCTCTCCAATAAGGGCGCTTCTCTGTGAGACTTCCGGTTTGTTACATCTGTTACATTATACTAGTACATTATTGGCACTTAGCAGAAGCTCTTATCCAGAGCAACTTACACATGTTATCTGTTTATACTGCTGGATATTTACTGAGGTAATTCTGGGTTAAGTACCTTGTCCAAGGGTACAACAGCAGTGCCCCAGCAGGGAATCGAACCAGCAACCTTTCAGTTACGAGCCCACCACCTTACCACTATGCTATACTGTCGCCCTACAGCATGCTTAATAATTTAATAATTTTAATGATTATCATCTATAGAACAGTTAATAATGTAATGATTTTAATAATGTTACGTCCCGTGGGTGTTTTTTTGCTGTTTTTCTCTCTCTTTCTGGGTATGTGTGTAGGTGTAACTTACTGTTAATGTGATGATGCTGTGATGGCCAGGAGCCTCTGGTCAGGACTCCAGTGTGGAGGGGTGGGTGAGTGATGGAGCAGCCCTAACGATGAAGCCTGGGGAATCTTTGACTCTCACACCCTCGCCACAGACACGCTGCTTTCAGGGCTGGCTTCATCGTACTCTGACAAGATCTGTAAAAAATGACCAGCTGCACAGTGAGATTCTGGAGTATGGAGCAATCTCGGGACACTTCAGCCAAACTCAGGAGGAAATGTGTGCATTCCTTCAGCTGTAGAAGCCCAGTGATTGGCTGGGGCCTCCTTAGGAGGGCCTAAAATGGGTGGTGTAGTTTCCCCACCCTGATTTCTCCTAACAAACAATTCCACTTCTTCTGCCAGTTTCATGTCTGAATTCACCTTTTGTCCACTGTGAGATCCAGAATGCATGGGAAAATATTACACTTTGGCCTTAAAACTCTTCTGCTCTAATTCTATTAAAGGCCATGACCCCAGTTCAGAAATACTGTCTGCTGCAGTTTACATGCACGATGCGTCTCCAGGTATGTTAAGCCAGATCATGTGGCCTGGGGGCTTATAGTTGATTCGCATACAGGTCTAGGAGATCTAGATAAAGAGCCTTTCAATTTTAGAGAAACACAGGAGACCACTTAAAAAGGTTACAGAATGCTTGACCAATCTGGGTCTACTGCATCTATCTATCTCTCTATCTATTGAAAAAGTGCAGAAATGGAAAGAAGAAGAGAAGTAAGGGCTGGATATGCGTATATCAGTAAATGAATCAGTGGAAAACAAAGCCTTAATGGACGTCTTGGACGCAAGACTGCATTCTGTGGTTAAATGAGATCTTTATGTTGAAGGTAGTTGCCATTATTTCATATTACAAAATACAAACATGGCAGGTCTGATCAAAAGATTCCAAGACGCATAATGGTAAAAATACGAACACAAAAATCATTGGGAATCTGTCATCAAATTACTCAACATGCTATTTCAAACACAGCAATTCCATTCTTACTAATGATAAGAATATTTTACTCCACATCTAAGATGTGGAGTAAAACACAATAATGAAATCATACTAATATATTTACACAAATATATACTTAATTAATGAAGCATACAACCCCCCCATAACCCTAAGTATTTCAGAAGGGCTTCTTAAGGGCTCTTGTCTCTGAAAAAAGCATATGACTTTATTCAATGTGAAGATAAAACTCAGGGAAAGTTCTGGTTGGATGTGCAGACAATCTATAAATCTGACTTTTATGGGCCATTTACTTTCGCGTGCTTGACACGTCCAACCAAATACTTTCCCTGAGGTTCCTTTTCAAACACTTGCTGATTTTTTCCAGATGTTAAAATGTCTGGTGTTTGTTCTTTATATTTTTATTTGCCAACTTGTTTTATGAAAACTACAGTATATCCCTTAACAGTACTAAACATGAACATTATTAAGCTATGAGTGTCTCCTTTATCTTATGGGGTGATGACAGACACTGGTTCCCAGGGTAACCCGCTTACTAAATGGCTCAGGTTTTACATATCGTTTATTTACACAACTGCTTACTTATTGAAGGAATTCAGGTTAAGTGTCTTAGGGGCCAAGGGTGCAACAGCACTTTGAACCTGCAATTTTCCAATCACAGTTCAATTTCCCCAGCCACTGTGTGGCTCTGCTAGCATTCTAGGTCTCTGAAGGAAAGCGCTGACCGCGCATTAACAGATAAAAGCAGCCATCTCATTTCCCTGGGATTAAACAGCCCCGCTGGTGGTCAGAGGCAGGCGGACAGTGCCAGGACCCTGTGGCAGCTCTGATTTAAGAGGATGAGCAGAGTCTGTGTCCTCAGCAGTACTCATACGCGTTTCAACTCAAACAAAACCCAAAAGGACAGAGAAAAAACAGAGGATGGCGAAGGAAGACGCAACCACAACCACTCTGATAAACAAATAAATAAAAGGCTGCATATTCTGAGCCAAAACAGGATCTCTGTTGGAAATCTAACCAAACAGCATCTGCTGGGACGGCTGGAACAGAACGTCTACGCTGGAGCCGAGCGTACGAGCGGCGCACGCAAAGCAAATGTGGGACAAACACTGGCCTCCATCGCCAAGCCAGGCCCGAAAGCCTGAGAGACTCCCTACTGAAAGACAAATTTAAGAGGCCCCTTAAGTCAAAGTGGAGTTAGAGAAAGAGGCCACTACTGGCCTCCACACCAAAGTCAAACCCTAGCTGGGACATACCTCTTCTACTCTTGAGAAAAGTCCTTCCCTAGTGTATCCAAAGGAAACCCTCGCAGTGTCTGCGGGGTATTCAGTGAGCCAGATGGAAGATGCTTTGGAAACTGAAACACTGCCAGTCTAATCCCCACCAATAGCATCTGCCCCATGATCCTAACACACAATTCACTCGTGAACAAAGTGCGTGCAGAAATGTTTTGGGCTTTTCTACAGTACTGTTGACTGTGTAATTAAAGAGCAAAGCATTCCAAAGTTTCAAATGATTATGCCTTGTTTCCATGCAGTAGCATTGAAGGGCTTACTGATCCATGTTTTACCTTTAACCTCCAATCAACTTACCACATTTCCCAAATACACCATCCCACAAATGGAAAATATAAAATCTTTTGCAGAAGTCCTGAACTAGCTGACAAAATAAAACAGCTTCATACCTGGCAGTTTGGAAGGGTGTTAGTTTTCAATTTCCCACTGTATTCATCTTTAATAGACCGGTTTAACCCACCCAGAAACATATGCAGTGTAGCAAAGCTGCCATCACACAGCATCACTTTTCCCTTCTCTTATTCAGTCCATTTTACAATGACGAAACCCCCTCATTCACTAAGGGTTCTTTTTCATACAAGACACACCCTGCATCCTGAAAGCTTGACAGTATTCAAACTGAAATTCAGAATTAGAATTTCAGAAATGACCTGTAAAACATTTCCAGCTCTAAAGAAATCAAGGACCGATACATCTGTACTTAATGCAGCCAAACTGAAGAGGAAACGTAGCATTTCTGGGGCTGTTCATACTTTCTGTGATTTATGTGTTTAATACAGTAGGGTTTGACTCAGATCTATCGGGAATTAATTTAACCATAAATTTAACCAAATGACGAGGTGTTTTTGTTCCATAGTTCAATGAGCTCTTGCTTTTAAAAGTTTTCTTACCAAACTTTCATCTTTTCACCTCCATCCTCAGTCAAACGCATATAAATAGCATGCACAAGACATTTTCATATACAAGCCACACCATCCTTGACCTGAAGTGAACATCAGTTCACAACATCCCTGGATTTCTTTGCTGTTTGGCTGAGTCATGAGTAATCATGGATGAAACACAGACAGCATTAATGTGTTTAACATACACATCAGCTGGAGTATTGCAGGCCTTGCCTGTGTCACGTGACCTACAGCATGCTCAGCCACTCTGTCAGGGGGTCTGAGACGCAGGTCACACGCACAGACTGCAAGGATCATTCTGGCCAGCATGACTGAACCACAGACAAAAACATGAACACATACATACTCCATCTACAGAGTGGCACATGCTAACCTGCTAAGCATATTAACATAAAAATTATTCAGCCTCATGTAGATGAAACACAGTATAACAAATTTATAAGTCTTCAGACAGAATCCTCTCCTGTATGTATTAGATAATTTCCTGGGGTAATGTACCCTCCTTGTTTGTGTCTATGCTGTTTAACCCCAGCTGTGACAGCTTGGCTATATTGGTAATAATTCTGTCATTGCTTTCAGAGGCCCCCTGTGTTTGGTATCATCTGATGGCCCTCAGAGTCTGGTTCCCATAAACCTTATGACAGAATTATATGATTCAGCGGAAAGCCAATTTGCAACCCTTAAACTTGTACATCACAAAATGTATTATGTGGATATTTCATTAGTGCTCCATGTGCGCTGAATCTAGCTGCCCAGAGTTAGGCATCCATATGGAAAAAGTGACACAGGAAACAACATCTGCTCCCAATCGAGGGTCTCAAAGCCCTTCCACTCCATTCCTGATTACTCGCGCCCGAAGTAGACACAAAAGCCTGCTGATTCACACACTTGTGTAGTTTAAATGATGGGTCTTTGTCCAATATTTCAAATGAGGGACCACCTATACAGCAATTAAATCCATGCTCACAAGGTTAACATGGAGCGAACTGGCTGCCCTTCCCACACACTGCAGGTATAATGCACACTGACTCTCTCCAATGACAGACAGCATACTGTACATGACAGAAAGCAAAGGGACTGGGTCCTCTCTGAGACAAAGCTCCCCATTTCTGTGATAACACACCCAAAGATTAAACAAATCAATGTAAAATCCCTCATCACAACAAGTGTCGAAGTATGTCAAGTGCGGAAGCTAATTTCCAGCATGGACCCTCTGAGAGAACAGTGAGCATTGAAGATCATCTTGTTCACAATCTGAACTCGACTTCTGAGATCCAAACACCCCTGCAAAGTGAGCTCTGTGAGTGCCGCTGTCAACCAGGGCCACTGAGACGGTTTACAGCAGTAAAACCCCATGGTTTCACTGGAGTCTGTAATGTGGTCTAATGAATGTCACAGTAATTAGGATGTTGCTGTTTTCTGCCTGTTTCTCCAGAAGAAAAGGGTTCACTGACCATGGCAAATTGAGCTTGAACTCAAACAGCCAAACAGAATCAATACCATGAACAAAATAAACAGATGTGTGTGCACAAAAACTTGCTATTTTACTTTACAGAAAGGAGGGGTACAAAAGTTAGAGGGGAGAAAGGCTGTATGCTAGGGGGACCATTGCCAAGGCAACCCATGACCAAGGCTTCCCATCGGCAAGGAGACCCACAGCCATGC